TTAACATTTTCTTTTTTGAAATTTGCATCATTTCATAAAAATATATTTTTTTTAAAATGACACATCTTAAATTTAATAATTTATTGTAAATGTGTGGGTTTTTTCCTGCATCAAAATTTTGATAATGCAGTATTGAGTCATGTAACCATATAGTATCATATTGTAAACAAGTCATTACCCACACATATTCCTGCTGATACATGTTGGACTTCCCCACAATGCACAACACATTCACCTACCAACACTTGCTTGTTAAGACCTGTCAGTGGACTTGACCACTGATTGGTTATAACTTACATTTTGTGTGTTTATTTGGAAAATAATGTAATCATTATGACTTTAACTCTGTTACACAACAGATGAAACATATACAAATGGTTTTTCAAAATTTTACCTTCTCTTCTTTCCTTATGCTTCCATTGCCCCCTTATTTTTATTCAATATCCCCCAATTGCACCAGAGGCTACTACCGCCCCTTCCGCATCATTCCAGCACCCCAAGGGGGTGGTATTGCCCATTTTGGGAACCTCTGTGGTGGTGTACGATTCTGTAAGTTGGGGCACTGTTTATGAGAAAGGAATTAAGAAATTAAAAGCTTCTTTTTTCAGTCCAAAAAGAAGGGAGAAAGAAGTTAGAGTATCATAAATGTTGTTATTCAGTCATTTTTAGTTGTATCTGACTCTTTGTGACCCCATTTGGGGTTTTCTTAGCAGATATACTGGAGTAATTTGCCATTTTCTTCTCCAGCTCACTTTACAGATGAGGAAACTGAGGGAAACAGGGTTAAGTGACTTGTCCAGGGTCACACAGCTAATAAGTGTCTGAAACTGGATGTGAACTTAGGTTTTCCTAACTCCAGGCCTACTGCACCACCTAGGTGCCCCAGGATAGGTAGACAGACCTATTCAAAATGAGACCTCCCTTGATGTTTTACTCCGAATCCATTTTGCTATCTGCTTTGCTTTTTAAAAAACTGGAATTTCTAATTGCATTTGTGATTAGGCAACTCCTTTCCAGAGCATCTCTTCCTAAAGAAGGCAGATGTTGAGGCTACATTAAAGAAAGCCAGGAAGAGAAGACTTCAGCCTTGACTTTGGTTGCTAGAAGGAGGAGAGGGAAGAGGACCATGCAAGGCAACTTGAGAGATATTTAAAGAAAGGGCAGAATAGTTCAATTCCCTAGTGATTTTATTATTGTTGTTGTTGTTGAGTCATTTTTCAGTTGTTTCTGACTCTTCATCCTGACCCCACATTTTATCCACTGAGGCACCTACCTTCCCTATTAAAAGCACAATCTTAAAGTCAGCCATGATTATTACCTTGTATGATGAGACCATTGTATGTGAAGTATTTATTGTCTCTTGAGGATTATTGCCAAGTTAGTTATTATTATTATTATTATTATTATTATTATTATTATTATTATTATTATTATTGCATTCTGAGTAATCTCAAGAAAGGATGCTCCCAATCACAGAAGCTTAGGGACTGGACCTGTGATTTCATTGGCATGGGGAACTCCCAGGTGAGGAAACTCTATTTATTAATGCAGGTCAGCACTTTCTCTATGATAGAAAGCTGCCTAGAACACTAAGAATGACATACCCAGGGTTGTGTTCATTTTGTTCTTCATTATTTCATGCAAGTCTATCCATGTTTTTCTAAGATCATTGAGTTAGCTCAATTTGTAGTGTGAAGGCTGATTTTTGTTCAGTTGTTTCAGTCATGTCCAACTCTTCAGGACCCCATTTGGGGTTTTCTTGGGAAAACTATTGGAGTGATTTACCATTTCCTTCTCCAGCTCATTTTACATATGAGGAAACTGAGGCAAACAGTGTAAAGGTGAAGTGACTTGCTGAGGGTCACATAGCTAGTAAGTGTCTGAAACTAGATTTGAACTCAGATCTTTCTGGCTCCAGGTCAGGTGTTCTATCCACTGTACTACCTAGCAGGCACACTTTAGGGGCTTGACAAATGCTTTTTGATTGATTGATTGATTGATTGAGATATAAATCTGACACCAGACAAACGTGACCTCAAGTTAATCCAATTTTCAGAATCCTCTCATGCTGAACTTTGCCCTTTCCTAAACTCCACTGATTTATCAGTAATAATAGTGTTTTCTTTTGGTGAAATGGGAATTAGGAGAGCTAACCATCCATAGAACCTCTCCTGAAGGGAGAAGAAAGATCTTAACTTGAATGTTCTCCTGCCTTTGGACACAAGACATGGTCCTTTCATTAAGGAATGACTGAAGGATTACACCTAATCTAAGCCTCTTTTGCATCTAGCATTTAGGAGCAGGAGAAATTTGAATATGTAGGATATGTGTTCTTTTTCCATCTGTATATTTAGTTTCTGGTGATGGAGTAAAAAAAAAACAGCATTTAAATAGTGTTTTTAAGGTTTGCAAAGCATTTTACAAATATCTCATTTTTTTTATACCCACAACAACCCTGGGAGATAGATGCTATTATTATCCCCATTTTATAGATGCGGTAACTGAGGCAGACAGTGGATAAGTGACTTGTCTAGGATCACACAACTAGTTCATGTCTAATACCAGATTTGAACTCAAATCTTTCTGACTTCAGGTCCAGTGGAGTCTGCTTTATCCACTCTACCATCTAGCTGCCTGAAAGGGTATCCCCCACTAGAAGTTCCTTAGCTTTGAAAATCAGTTCCTGATGTTGGTCTTTGGATTACCATTTGCATTTGGGGTTGGTTGCCACCTATTGGTGAATTGCCCAGATGCTGTAGTAACATTTATCCCAGGATCTATTTTCTGTATCATCAGAGATATGGTAGTGCTCTCTGGCAGTCACTGTGGAGTCTGTTTCTCCATGCTGACTGCATTTTACTTCTAGGCAAAACTCATTAAAAAGGTAGTAACCCTTTATTGGACTAAGCTGTTCTTTCTTATAAGCAGACCGTTTAACCATCAGCTACAAAATCCTCCTTCAAAAGCATCATTGCTAGCAAGAGGTAGCAATGGTACAACAGAAAGATTATCAAATTTGGAGTCACAGGTTTTTGTTAATCAGTTGTTTTCAACTCTTTGTGACCCCATTTGGAGTTTTCTTGGCAAAGATACTGAAATGGTTTGCCATTTCCTTCTCCAGTTCATTTTACAGATGAGGAAACTGAGGCAAACAGAGTTAAGTGACTTGTCCAGAGTCACACCAGTAATAAGTGTCTGAGGCCATATTTGAACTCCACTCCTGGTGCTCTATCCACTGTGCCACCTAGCTGTTAGGACCTGGGCTCAAATCCTAGCCCTGTGACTTAGTAACTGTGATACTTGAGCAAGTCATTTAACTTTATGAGACTCAGTTTCCTCATCTGCAAAACAAAGGGTTGTACTAGATGTGCTGTAAGGTCAGTCCCAACTCTCATATTCTGTTTTCACATTGTTGTGTTCATCAGAGTAGTCTGTAATTATCCTTCCTGAAATCTGCAATTAAAACAAATATTTGCTCAGCATTTGCTTTGTGTTCAGAACACTGCTAAACACTAGAGACATAAATTTCATCTGATATCTCAAGAGATCTTAGGAATATGTCATAAAATTAAAGGTCTTTACCTAGCATTATTGAAAGATAACTGTTTTCTTCAGGTTACTGAGAGAGAGAGAGAGAGAGAGAGAGAGAGAGAGAGAAGTTCAGATAGAAACCTAAGGTTTTGATCTAAACCTAAGGAGCTGTCCAAGTCCTTTTTTATTACTGGGATTTTGTTTCACTAAATACTGCTTCCTATACATGATATTTGGAAATGTTTTTGTCACAGAGGCATTTATTGTCATAGAAATTGATCTGGGGGTGTGCTAGAGCTAGCTTGAGAGTGAGAATCAATTGTTAAATTTTCAGGGTGAACCTTTACACCTTGGAAATCAACAAACACAACTAGAGCTTGATTTATTGTTTTGTTTCTAGAATTAAGAAAGTAATGGAGAAGATATCAATAATGCAGATTAAATTTAAAAGTGCATCATGCATATTTTTGAAGAGGTGGTTATTAAACATTTACCAATACACCACTGATTTGACCTGTATCCCCCCAAATCATCCCTCAGTTCATTGTCATGTAGACATGGGCCCTGGTTTTTAGTTTACCCTATGCACTTAAATTCAGAATTACATGAACCGCAAACACCTGAAGAACTTGGGATTGGGGGTGAGGAATGAAATGAGAACAGCATTTATTACTGCAATTTCTGAATGAAAAGATTCCTATGCTTTCAGGAAATCATACATCATCATGCCATCAGCACAGTAATAGGCAAACAGCCCACCTGTCTCATCCATTTGTCCAAATACATTGTGAAGTGAAGAGGAATGCTCACGTGGAATGGCAAATAGGGCTCTTCTCTCTGTCTCTCTCACTTTCTCTCTCTCTCTCTCTCTCTCTCTCTCTCTCTCTCTCTCTCTCTTTCTCTCTCTGTCTCTTTGTCTCTGTGTCTCTGTGTCTCTGTCTCTCTCTCACACACACACACAGTTGTGGCTTAGCATCCACTTAACTTGATGTCAGGAAAGGTGATGGATGAATACCTTAGGCCCTACTGGAGCGACTACAAGCCAGGCATGTTGAGAGCCCTGGTTGTAATGGGCATGCCATTTCAGGAAGTAATCAGGAAGGCAGCATGGTAGACCTGGAGGCAGTTTGGAGCATCAGGAACAGCACTAGCTCTTGAACCAGAGGACCCTGCTGAGTTGAAGTCCCACCACTGATACTTATTAACTGTGCAAATTAACTGGGCAAATCACTCAACCTCTTTAAACCTAAATTTCCTCATTTGTAAAAATGGACTGAGACTAGATGACTTTAGAGGTCCCTTGAAAGAGACCTAAATCTGTGAATCTTGAAAGAGACCTAAATCTGTTATCCCAGGATCAATAGACTTGGTTCTCTATTTACTAAGTCATTTGCCATATCCCCAGACTACACCTCATGTTTTCTGGGTTCAAGTCCTTGTGTCTCATTTGCCTCATTTTAAATCTTCAGCCAACTGGAAAAGTGCTTTCTGGAAACCACCTTAATCAACCCTTGGTCCACATGGAGCGTCTGGAACTACTCAAAAATGTCTGCCAGGATGCAGCTCTGAGGAATCTCTCACACACCACAGTCTCAAAGTTTGTCTTAGATCGAATATTTGTCTGTGACAAACACAAGATTCTCTTCTGTCAGACTCCCAAAGTGGGCAATACACAGTGGAAAAAAGTTCTGATTGTTTTAAATGGTATGTGAGGGGTCTTCAGGTAGGGGTTGATGTGGGCATGTGTGATTTGGGTAAGGGAGGGGCATGGGAAGGAAAAGAAAAAGTAAAAGTGAACTCTTGTAACTTTTGTAAGAAACATACCCTACTACAAGGACAGCCTTGAAGATATTTATATTTTCCCTCTTATTTGTGCTTAAAACCATTTTTAACTGGTTGGAGATTAAATTAGACACTAATGTGTTATAATTGTTCTTTAAAAGGATACGTCCAAGGCTAGTTTGCCTAAATGATACTGAGAGCTGGCATCTTATATGTATAGTACTTTAAAGTTTGCAAAGTGTTCTACAGATGTTATCTCATTGCACGGGAAAACCAAGATAAATCTTGACCTCAAGCAGCCTGACTCAGGTCAGTGATCAGTTTTTTTCTGCCTCATTGGACTTGCTAAATTTGGTATGTGTCAGTCTCTATTGCAGTTATGAGGTGGGCAAGCTAACCTGTCTGAGTTACTCCATTTCTGATGACACACAGGTAATCTGTGAGAGGAAACCTCCACCACATTCTACTGTCTGTGTCTGAAATCAGGGCTTAGAATGAGACTAGAACCTGCTTAGTTCTCCATCTGCAGACAGAACGTTTGAGCATGAACACAGGACGTGGGAAGGGGAGGAAGGAAACAATCATTTATTAAACACCAACTGTGTGCCAAGCCCTGTGCTAAGCGCTTTACAAACAAGGAATCATTCTGATCTCCCACTATGCATCTGCCTCATCATCTTGACATATAAAGAGGCCATACCCTTTCTGCTGATGAAAGTGGGACTTCACTTGACAACAAGCTGACTCAATGGAAGTGACCTTATTCTACGTAATGGTATAGCTAGCACCTCTTTTAAGGATCCATTCATTTGTTTGTTTAAACAAAATGGTCAATATTCTCTTCTATAATTCAGGTTAATTGTTACCTTGATCCATTGAATTCCTTCATCTCTGAAAGGCACATATTTCAAATAAACAGTAATGGCAGTCCTAGAAAAAGAAAAACCAACATAGAAGTAGAAAATCCGTTTTGTTTCTCCATCATCCAACCTATTATTTATCTATGTAGCTTAGTTTCTAATTTGAGGCAGTGATATAGCGAACAAAGAGCTTTCTTTGAAGTCAGGTAGATCTAGGTTCAAATCCTGCCTCTGATAGCTTTGTGACCTTGGGTAAGTCATGCAACCTCTGTGCCTCATTCAGCTTGTTAGGCCTTCCCTACTAAGTCCTGATTGCAGTTTGCATAGGTAGATGACTTTAAATGTTTTAGGTCATTTGCATTTTTTTTAAAAAGTGGGACAAGAATAGAAAGAGAAAAATGAAAGCATTTATCCTTTCAGTCATAAAGTTCATCATCAGTGTAAGAGATATGTTGCATAAAAGCCTGAATGAGTATTTTGGCAGCGTGTCCAATCTAAAATGAAATTGCAATGTGTGTCTAAGACAATGAGTGTATAAAAATGTCTCCCTAAGTATGCCATGGTAGCGTGAGTCACAGCATTCTGAAGAAGTAAACACCCACTTACAGGGGCAGGAATCTTAGCTGGTGAACAAAAATAGACGGCTAATTTGCACAGAGCTACGTAAGAGAAAAATGAATAGCTGCTTGGAATTGTGCTTGAAATAATTCCTCATAGCATCCTGTACCTTATGAGCAAGCAAATAAGCAAGCCTAGATAGGACATCTATCTATCTATTCACAGAGAATTTGGTGGAGTGGAGTGGATTGGGCATGAACTGGAATGGAGAAGACCTGGTTTAGAATCCTGCCTCAAACAGTCATTTAATCTCCCCATGACTTAGTTTCCCCATCTATGAAATGAGAAGTCTTGATGGTCTGTAAAGGTCCTATCCACTTCTGAACCTATGATACAATAATCATAAAGCAGACGGGGCTACAGACAGTGATTAGATTGTCTAGGGAAGATTCATAGGATCAGAGACTTAAGACTGGAGAGGTTCTCATTCCAAACCCACTCATATTACAGATGCAGAAAATTAGATTCAGAGAATGAACCTGCCAAGGTTACACAGGTCACATGGTCACACAGTTATAGAACTTGGATTCAAACCCAGGTTCTCTTAATCTAAATCTAATACTCTTTCCATATTACCAGTCCTGTATGGTAGGTTCCACAAGTGTTATTTTCTATATTTTACAGACCAGAAAACTGAGGCATGGAGAGGTTCTAGGACTATAGCTAAGTCCTGTAGCTAAGAAAGGTGAGAGTCAGGATATGAACTGAGGTCTTTTTTTTTTTTTTGAAGCAATCAGGGTAAAGTGACTTGCTCAGGGTCACACCGCTAGTAAATTTCTGAGGCTGGATTTGAACTCAGGTCCTCTAGACTTCAGGGCCAGTGTTCTTTCTACTGCACCACCTACCTATCCCAAACTCAGGTCTTTTTGGTGCCACATCTGGCACCCTCTCTACTTGTCCATGGTGAAAACTGAAGTCTTTTAAACCATACATTTATAGGGCAGAACTAGCACTGAGAAAGCTTTAGAGGGATAAAAAAGAATTGGCTAAAAACTTTTCAATATAATCACTATAATTTATTCCCATTCAATGTCTTTCCTGTGTGGAATTAGGGACAGCTTGATGGGTACTGTTGCTAGGGCTCTAGACCTGAGTCAGGAAGACCTGAGTTTGAATCCTGACTCTCAATTGAGTGACCCTGAACAAAGGTCACTTAACCTTTCTTAGCCTCAGTTTCTACATCTGTAAAATAGGGATAATAATAGCAACTACCCCTAAGGTTATGAGGAGAAAATGAATTAATATCTATAAAGCACTTTGCAAACCTTAAAGCTCCCTATAAATGCTAGCTATTATTATGCAAGTTTTTTTTTAAGCTATGTAAGCATCTACTCAAGGAAGAACAAATATGAGAATAATCTAGCTCATAGCATTCTGTTTTGAAGTCATGTCCTTTATCCCACCAGTGTCTACACTGCTATGGACTGTTAGTATGGGTTGGGAGCTGATACTTTAGCAGATTTTTGCAATTTTGGGCCAGTATAAACACTACAGAGCTTTAGAAATTGAATAGAAGGTCCTTAATTATATAACTATAGCAATTGTGTACTATTTAATTGTGGATTGAACCCAGTTAAATTCATTACAGGCTCCAGATTCATCACAATTTTTCACACTTTTCCCCCTCATTTTTAATCAACACTCCCCTCCCCCCAAATTGGCTACTGGGTTATTTAAAACTTTTTCTCATCCTGTTAATTTGGAGTCTATTCAGCATCACAGCTTCTGAGAGTGATACAATGACAAGATGACTAACCAGAACTCCCTAGCTAGACCTGTAGATCTGTCAGGAAAATTCTTCAGGGCTGGTAATGATAGGTTAGCAAAATCCTCCAGAGAAAAAACTGTCCAGAGGAGTCCATGAATAGAGTTGCCAGGAATAACTGTCTCCCCCAGCATTCCAGAAATAACCTGGAGAACTTATTGAGATAATCACGCCCAGGGTACTTAGAACCAGTCTGTGTTGGCCCTCTGTGTGCCAGTTTGGGTTATTATCTTCTAGTTATACTATGCAGTATCCTTGGGAAGCCAGTCAGGATTCTTCCTTATGCTGAAGATAGGGAAAGTGAAGACCAAGGCAGGAATTATCCCCCTTCTCCCTCCAGAAGTACATATATTTAAATCTCTAAGTGCCTTCAGACTCTTTCCAAATTGGATTTGAACACAAACTGCTGAAGGGAAAGGGATAAAGGAAGTAAGGTCTTCTCTATGACTAGGTAACCTTTTTTTTTTTCCATTGGAAGGAAGAGTCTTGTCTTAGCAAGTTGTCTCTTTCTGTTTGCTTCCCAGGAGTTTTTTCTTCCATTGAAGAGATCCCAGAAAATGTGGTACATGACCATGAAAAAAATGGCCTGCCACGTTTGTCTTCTTTCAGTGACTCTGAAATTCAGAAACGGTAAGAGATTTTTCCTAATCAAGGGAGAGAGCTATCAGAGTCAAGTGAAAAATGACTAATATTCACTGCCCAAAATACAGATAGAACCAGTCTTCATTTAAAAAAAAAAACCCAATTCCTTGTTGGCCAGTCATTCAAAACTCCTTTGATATTGGGGGGGGGAGGGCTTGTCCATCAGTAAGAAATCATCATCACCGTCCCTGCTTCCTTATTAATTAAAGTATTTATTCCCTGAGCCAAACTTGACATGAAATTATGTAAACAATAAACAACAAGATGGATGATCTGTGAAATCACAAATTGTCGTTGTGATCAGTACCAGAATGTTCAGTGTTCTAAAATCTACCATACTCAAAGTGGTTTTGATATGACAGTTCCCCTTTTATTTGAACAGGCTTTAACTGTCTAAAATGTTTGCTTTTCTTATTCTACAAACTTCAGAGAATTTTAACTTAACCTATTTTTGATAACCAAATTTTTTTTTAAAAAATTCAGAACACGTTTTTTGATAACCAAATTTTTTTTAAAAATTCAGATCCTTAGGAACATTTGGAAACTCCTTAAATATTGCAGCCAAGTTTCATTTATATAATCTATGTTAAAATAAAGCCATTTATAAAAACTGTTAATAGCCTTGGTTACAGGGCAACTTTGTACAGGCTTTTTCCACTATTTCTAACGCATATTTTTGTTGCTGTTATTTGTGTCTTGATTGCTCCCACCAGGTGATTTTGGTGACAAACCAGAGCAGTCCATGCCCACAAGTTAGACTTACATCAGATATATGTAACTGGAAGAATAGGGACCATGGCTTCTACTTGCATTTCTAAAAGTTGTGAGTTTGAGTTCACCAGCAATAAAATCCAGCAACATTAATTGGTTTACTGGCCCCTTGTGGGGTAAGATTGTCATTCATCCTTTTTTATAAAGCAAACTGTAATTGTTTATATAGATAATACCATATACTAAATATATAGTACCTTTTTTCTCTGACTCAGACTTGAATAAAACCTAGTGTTATTTTTCAGTATTCCTTTCTTTCTTTTAAAGAGATCGAATTTTGGGGACCCAACCTACATTCACATCAATAGTGAAATTGGTTAGTTTTACTTTAAATTGAGATTGACCCCAATTAGAGTAATGGTTAGGGGGAGAAAAAAATTGTTAACTATATTGTCACTAATTTAACAGTGAAGAGCATTATTTCCTTAAATATTCCACCTTCCAAGGGGCCATGTTTTTTCAAACATTCTTATTCTGTCCAGTTTATGTTGTTGTTCAGTCATTTTCAGTCTTGTCCAACTCTTCATGACCCTGTTGGGGGTTTTCTCGGCAAAGATTGGAGTGGTTTGCCATTCCCTTTTCCACGTCATTTTATAGATGAGGAAACTGAGGCAAACAGAGTTAAATGACTTACCCAAGATCACACAGCTAATAAGGGTTGGTCAGTTTTGAATTCAGGTCTTCCTGACTCTAGGCCCAACGGTTTATGATACCACCTAACTGTCTAATTTATACTCAATAGCTGTTTAGAGTACAGGTTCATGAAACTAAACGACCAATATTTTATCTAGTGCATTGCTATACTCTGCTACTCTTTCTAAGCTCTAAGTTTCTTTTTATTTTCTTCCTCCCTTCTCTTTTCTAGGTAGCTCAAACTACCTCACAAAATGGACAGACTTAACATTTATAACCCTTTAATTCATTCAAGACCTTTCTTTCCAGATGAAAAGAGACAATACTCTTAATACTTCTGTTCATTTTGAAACCATAAAACAGGGTTAAACAGAGTTTTCTTCACCCTATTGCTGTAAAAATTACCCGCATTCCTGCAGCAATTGACTTTTCCTTTGTTTTCTTCTTTCTTCTTTAGCTTGAAATTATACTTCAAATTTTTTATTGTAAGAGATCCCTTTGAAAGACTCATTTCTGCTTTTAAGGATAAGTTTGTACATAACCCTAGGTTTGAACCTTGGTATCGGCATGAGATTGCTCCTGGCATCATTAGAAAATATAGAAGGAATCGAACAGAAACCAGGGGTCTTCAGTTTGAGGACTTTGTGCGTTACCTGGGGGACCCAAACCATAGGTGGTTAGATCTTCAGTTTGGGGACCACATCATTCATTGGGTGACGTATGTAGAACTCTGCGCACCCTGTGAAATAAGCTACAGTGTGATTGGACATCATGAGACCTTGGAGGAAGATGCTCCGTATATCCTGAAGGAAGCTGGGATTGATCATCTAGTATCTTACCCCACAATTCCACCAGGCATTACTGTGTATAACAAGACCAAGGTGGAACACTACTTCTTGGGAGTAAGCAAAAGAGACATACGCCGTCTGTATGCACGTTTTGAAGGAGACTTTAAACTCTTTGGGTATCAGAAGCCAGATTTTTTGCTAAACTGATTTTTGGGACCTATGAAGAGAGAAGTGTCTTCCTTAAACCAAGGGATATCCAGCTGTGTATCTGAACCCAGAACTGGTTTCCTGAACTGCACCTTCATTTTCTAAAATTCCCAATTGATAACCATTGGCCAGTTGTTAACTCTTTGGCATGTAAAATGGAACCCCTCTTAGTAATCATCCTTCATTTGTGCATAGGGGGCATTGAATGGCACCATGATAACCAGGACATCTCTGGCCTTCCATTCCTCCAGGAACAAAAAGAAGAATCTAATATGTAAGGCAAGAAGTGGGGCTTGAGGAGAATAATACAATTTTAAGAGTGGTTTTGGACAGCAATCAAAGAGAAAGACTTAATCGCTAATGAATTAATGGACTGTAGGTGGAATTGTCATTTGTGAGTTGCCAGTAATGGTACCTAGTGCTGACAGGAAGAATAGAAAAGTTAACAGGCTGTGAAAATTGTAAAGACTAAAATTTGATGATAAAATTATACCTCTGGGTTTCGTTTTTTTTTTCTTTTTACTTCTATAAAAACTGAGGAAAGACTTTTTTTTTGTTTTTTTCATAGTCATGTTGGAGAGAATTTGATTTCTCCCCCACTCTGATTCAGTTATGTCCCAAAGAGCAGCTTCAGGAGATTTTCTTAATGGAAAAAATGCACCTGTGTAATGATGTCCTAAATGCTGAGCCTTTGTTGGCCAAGCAGTTTACCTGATCCCATCAAAGAATTCCAAAGTTCATGGTGTTAGATTGCTTGAGATCAAAGGGAGAATGCAGATTCTTCCTCTCTGAAAAGGAGAATTCTTTGTAGGCATTAAGGAAAGCATAGGATGGTTTTTTTAAAAAATCTTTTAAATTTTGAAGTTTGGGTTTAATAAATACCACCCTGACACTGCTTTTTAAACACTCTACCCATTAGCAACCAATATTTGAATGCCCAAATCTGAACAGGGGCAGTACAGTACAGGGTGCTTGGTAGGGTCTCCTACTACTCATTCCAAGGTGCCTGTCCTGGTCCTAGGCCTGCATTGTTAGTGTAGGAGGAAAGCAGGGATGTAATTTATTGTCCTTGCCTTGGATCTCAGCAAAATGCCATAGAGTGGGACCATGGCTTCTACCTGCATTTCTAAAAGTTGTGAGTTTGAGTTCACCAGCAATAAAATCCAGCAATGTTAATTGGTTTGCTGGCCCCTTGTGGGGTAAGATTGTTGTTAGCAATTTTAGCAGTATCAGAATAGACCTCTGAGGTGAAAGAGGCAACAGGCAGAGGATGATCCTTCCCTGGGGTATCAGTCTCTCTCTAGGCATTGGAGGAGAATGAGTGGAATATAATTAGATCTTACCATTGCCATCACATCTAAAGAAATACCCTAGGTATCACAGATGAACCATATACTATTCCATTTGAAGATGGAGTTTAAAAAAAGCTGAGGGAATTTCCTCTAATAGATGAAGTAGTAAAGTCTTGACCCCCATAGAGAGAGCTGTGGTGCTCTCTCTGCCTCTCTCTCTCTCCCTCTGTCTCTCTGTCTCTGTCTCTCTCTCTCTCTGTCTCTCTCTCTCTATCTCCTCCCCTCTCCCCACTCTCCCCTCTCTCTCTTTCTTTCCTTTCCCCCCTCTCTTTCTCTCTCTACCTCCCTCCCCCTCTCTCTCTTTCTCTCTTTCCCTCCCTCCCATTTGTCACTTCAAAGACTGATGACAGTGGTATGGGCCTGATAGAAAGAAATCATTTAAAGCTCAGGTGCAGTATGGCCTGGAGGTTAGCTACAAATGCTGTCTTCTTGCTGCTTGAGACTATTTCTCAGTATCTTATCTGTAACCTGCCCTTTGAATAATACTGTGTATGTGTGTGTGATATGCAAGGATATCAAATGATGCCAGTGATGGCAAGAGAGGTCCAGACTTGTTGGATTTGGGGTCAAAGGACCTAGGTTCAAATTCTGACCCTGTCATTACCTATGTGACTTTAGATAAGTCACTTGACTTCCATAGGTCCCAGTTTCCTCATCTGTAAAGTGAAGGGGTTGGAATGGGTAATGTCTAAGGTCCCTTCCACCTCCAAAGGGTTACATGATTTTTACAACCAGTCACACAATTTGTCCTGATGGCATCCTATGGAAGCAAGAAGGGGCCTCAATACTAGAGAATAGGAAAGAAAAATAAGATTTAAAATATGTGCCAAACCTGACATGTGCTGTAGCTCATAAAAAGGTAATATAATAGCTGAACATCATCCTGGACACATCTTGACACACCAGTTGGTCTAAGGGAGTAGCACTCAACTGACTACTGTTAACAGTAGGGTCTGAAGTTGCAAAAGCTTAAATGCTCTTATGTGGTGGGTTTTTGTTTTTGACAGATGCAATTACAGAGTCATAGACTTGTTAGTCCTTAACCAATGTGTAAAGGATGTAATCTTTGAGTTATTTTTATATGAAGTCTTAGCCAAGACCATTGTTGAATACATTTCAGATCTAATGACTTGATCGATTACCTCTTTGCTGACTTAAAATGTAACAATGTGAATAATGTTATTGTGAATTAAGGCCTTAAGGTTAGTCCTAATAAAAAAACAAACAAACAAACAAACATACAAAAGATAGACTTTTCTTTCTAAAATGAGCTTTGGGGATATTTATCAGTACCTTGCCTGTTCCCTTAATGTAGAAAACACACCTATGTAATGATGTTCTAAATACTGAACCTTGGTTGGCCAAGCAATTTACCTGATCCAGCCCAAGAATTCCTCTGCAGAATGTTCCTGGTGCCATATCTGTCCAAGGCAAAGCTCATCAAACCCAGGAGTTGCAGGGAGTTTGCTTAGAGGAATGTGTGGCCAACCTGTGATAGAGAGAGGCCTGATGCCAAAATCTCTAAACTTCATCGAGTGTTGTCTTCATCAAATACTTATTGGGATCACCATCTGTTATGGATAAAGCACTCAGCTAGGGGCTTAATAAATATATGCTGTGAGAAGCAACTTAGTGTAGGGGAGTACCTTGGACAGGAAGTCAGGGAGACCTGAGTTCAAATCCTTATTGCACCCTTATTAGCTGTGTGATCCCAGGGAAGACACTACCATAAGTTCCCAAAGTGGGTGATACTACCCCCGGGAGGCATTGAAACAATGAGGAGGGGTTTGTAGTAGCCTCAGGTACAGTTGAGGGGGGGCATTGAATAAAAATAAGGGGCCTGTGGAAGCATAAGGAAAAAAGAGAAGATAAGAAAATTTTGAAAAATCATTCATACATGTTTCATCTGTAGTGTAACAGAGTTAAAGTCATAGTGATGACATTATTTTCCAAATAAACACACAAAATGCAAGTTATAACAGATCACTGATCAAGTCTGATGACAGGTCTTAACAAGCAAGTGTTGGCAGGTGAGTATGTGACTCACTATGGGAAAGTCCAGCATGAATGGGCAGGAATATGTACGTGTAATGACTTATTTACAATGTGATACTATATAGTTACATGACATAATATTGCATCACCAAAATTTCAATGCAGGGAAAAAACCACAAATTTACAATAAATTATTAAATTTAAGATGCATCATTTTTAAAAAATACATATTTTCTATTTTTTGAAGTTATGTATTTTTTTTAAAACTGCTGCTTAGTATATATGCTTATGGCCCAATGAGGGGCCAGTCCAGAGGAGGTCTAGGTGGGCCTTGTCTATCATTATGCCCACACATTTGAGGGATCAGGAGGGAGTTTCAAGTTGCTATGATTTTTTTTTTAAATTCAAAACTTTGGGAAGTCAAGTTGCCATACATATATTCAGCTCCCTTATATGCCTTATATTTTGACTTCCTAATCCTCCTCAGATTTGTATCCTTGCCCCAACAACCTGCCTTCCCATTTATCTCAATCCCCCATATCTAAGAGCTTTGCAAACACCCTAGTACCAAAGCACCCTGGATTTTTGGTTTCCTTTCTCCCATCTCAGACTGACACATCAGCCCTTCCCCTTGTCCAGTCACTGGTACATGTTGGCCCTACACAAAGTAAAAAGATGAAGTTCTTACCCTGGACAAACTACTTTTAGCCTCTGTAGGTCTCAGTTTTCTCATCTAGAAAAGAACTGTGCTAGATGATTTCCAAGGGCCCTTTTCTGTTCTAAATCCTATCATCATTACACCTGTACTCAAGTCTTTAATCCATCAATTCAACTTAACAAACATTTAATAAGTGCCTACATGTGCAGGCACTACCACAAAGGGCCTCTATCTCTAAGTATAAAATGAGGGGCTGAATGAGATTCTCTCAAAGGTTCCTCCAACTCTAACATTCTATGATTCTACTCCTTCTCCTTCACCTTTGTATATGTAATTTTTTGTAAGGTGGGCTTTGGTAGTTGCTGGAAGGTAAAGGGAACAACCCCAACACCCCAACATCACTTGCCAATATACTATATGATTTTATATATGTATATATATATATGTGTGTATGTGTGTGTGTATAATATATACGAGTGCATATATATATAATATGTATATGTATATTACACACACACATACCTACACACACACACACACACACACACACACACACACACTAGTTTCCATGCTGGTTAGCCTTTCACAGAGGCATGAATAAGTTACTACTGATTTTCATTTCTAAAACATAATAGGAGAATTATCTTAGCAACCACGAACAAAGAAGTCTCTCTATCTTTGTCCTAACTGGAGAATGTTTCAAGTTGTTAAGTTTGGTTGGGGGTAGAGGCCCTTGGAGGAGCCACCACATTAATGAGCTAAAGCAAAGACAACAGCAGTGAGGGAGGGAATGAGGAGAAATGTCAAGGTATAGGGAGGAATAGCCCAAAGAGGATCGAGACAGCATACCCTGGAGGAGTTCACCAGATAACAGTTGTGAAATAATGTTTTAAGTCTCGTTTTAAAAGAAAAAAAGAGCAGAAGAAGCTAGTCTAGCTGCCTCCTAAAAAGTGTTTTAAGTCAGGGATGGCAATTTCCGAATTTAAACCTTTAATGTTGTCTGTGCCATGAGCTAATGGTCTCTGTTAACAGAGCCAAGAGGAGGAGTTGTCATACTCCTTGCTCCCCATTGGCATTTTCAGATTCTCCCTTTGCAGCCATTCAGTAATCTTTTCTCCTTTGAAGTATATACCTTCTGGCTTTTATCACTTTCATCATTCTTATAAAGAGGTTGGTCTAGATAACCTCTAAGGTCCCTAAATAGGACCTTGTGAATGTTGACTCTGCTCCTTTCAGTATGTGTGCCCATTGGGGCCCAGTCTAAGAGGAGGTCCAAGTAGGCCTTGTCACTTATCATGCCCACACATTTGAGAGACTGGGAGGAAAATTCAAGATTCTGTGATTTTTTTTTTATCTAAAATAATGTTTTGTCCTACCCTGCCCAGGGTCACACTGCTAGTAAGTATCTGGAGGCAGGATCTCAACTCAGGTCTTCTTGATTCCAAGTCCAGTGTTTTATCCATTATGCCACATAGTTATCCTCAGATTACCTGGGTGCTCTCAAGCAGGACATGCCTTCTGCCTTCAGAATGGCCTGGCAGATGTAGCTAGGTCAGAAGAAGGCTTGGGGAAACTAATTCACTGGAATCTCTCATTCCTGGAATGGACTTCTTCCTCATCAACACCTTTCATTATCCCCATCTGCCTTCCAGGTTAAGTGCATGTGTCACCCATATGAAGCTATCTGTGGTTTCCTCCCCCACGTCCCAAAATATTCTTTCCCCTGATCAAATTTTCCCTGGACACTTTACCTAGATCTTTCCTTTATACCATTGCATTTGGCCTTGTATTATACCAGTGGTTCTCAAAGTGTGGTCCAGGGACCTCTGAGACCTTTTCAGGGGAATCAGATAGTCAACTATTTTCATAATAATACTAAGACCTTTTAATTTTTAATATGGTGTTGTTGTTTGTCCTTCATTTTCAAAGAGGACCAATGTCCAAGACCCCAATGTCATGAATCTTGTGTGAATTGAATTTAAGTGAGACAGTTGCACAGAGTCGTCATCCTCACTCTTTCTTCCAGAGTCATCAAAGTCCAGTGGCAAGACTAAAGTCAGGATGACTGGTGATGGCCCCGGATGCAGTGGATGATCTTGGCATCTTTGATGTCTGACTGATGGGGTATGGGCCCAAAGTGGGACCCGCGTGATCTTGGGATTCCAGCACCTCTAACCTCTAGACCTCATCATGACCAAGCTCTAAGTGCTCCATAGCACTTGCTTCATCTGCCTTTGTGGCCATTGGAGCAAATTATTCTCATTTGCCCATTAGGCCAGGAAAAGTCTTCACATGATTGAGGCGGACACTCCCCTAACTCACTGACAGGTTTGGGGCCTGTCAGTTATCCTCAACCTGGTTTAGCCCATCTGCCAAGATAGTTTTACTGGAGTGTGGCCTCTGGGCATGCTACAACTTCTTGGAGCCACAGATGAGAGTTGAGGGCCAGCTAGACACCAAAGGTGGATGAGCAGCCCTGAAAAGGGCTTGGCAAGCCCTTACACCAGAGGTGCTAGTCTTCCTTAAACATCCCTTACACCCCATCTAATTTCTAATATGGTAAACACTGATAGATATAGTTCACATAAACAAAAGCTTTTGTGGGGGGTTCTCAATAATTTTTAAGACCACAAAAGAATCCTGAGACCGAAAGCTTGAGAACTACTGTAAGGCTATATTGTAGCTTTTCCCACCCTTTCCCCTAAATAAAATACAAGCTCCTTGAATAAAGAGGCTTGATCTTTTAATCCTTTATCTGGTCTTTTGTGTGATGCCTGGAAAAATGGGTGAATCACATTGAATTGTGCTAAATGGCCTTTCTTTTCTTTTTACCTCTCCCATTGCAGATATGCGTGTTTTATTCAGGAGACCAGTCTGTGGAATGTTCTAAACCATGAAATCCTTCAGAGACCATGCCATCTGTTTACATGCCATATTCTCAATATCCTCATTGCCTCATCTGCTTCAAAGAATCTATACATGAAAAATTCTACTCTGATGACAACCTCCTAAGCCTTCTAGTTCCCTATCCATTACCCCTCAGTGCATCTATTATCTCGATATAGGTACCCCCTCTAATAGTGGATATCACAATTCATCCATGTGTCTCATCCTGGGAGATTCTTGGCCATAGTCTCATATGAATTCTCCATCAAGGATATACATCTACCCAACTGGATAGATAAAGGCTTTTCTCTGAATCTTTTGCATTCAGTGGGTACCACTGTGGATACTATTTACATTCTCCATCTTTTATTCTTTCCCCTGCTACTGGTTTGATCCATCCATTTTTCTGCTCATACATTTCCTATCTACCTGTCTACCACTCAAATTTGGAGCCTGGTTCTATTACTTGCTACCTGTGTGACTATAGGCAAGTCACTTCTCCTATACCTACCCTAAGTACTCTCTCTTCAAAGCAAGCTGGATTTTCTTGGTTCAGTTCCCACCCCCCATTCCATTTTTTCTTATGCTAAGTTTGTAAGAGAAATAAGTCCAGGGTTGAAATAGTCCCTAATAAAATTCATAGACTTTTTCTGATTTTCTTTGACCCCTCACTCCTAGCTTCTCCTGAGGTTAAAAAAAAAAAAAGGGTTCCAACTGCTTTAAGGAACGGGTGCCCTTACTCTCTTACTCTCAAACCACATATATTCAATGACCAAGGAGGCTCAGGTTGATGGCCATCAATTTAATTCAACAAACATTTATTAAAGCACCTACTATGTGCCAGGCACTGTGTAAAGTGCTGGGCATAGAAATAAGAAAAAGAAAGACCCTGCCTTCAAGAAGTTTACAGTCTAATGGGGGAAGACAGAATACAGGAAAAAGCTGAAAAAGAAGAAGGGCACAAGGGGATACCTGGTATGGGGCATGATGTTCATGGAGTCAAAACAAAGCTGAGCAGCTGATGGAAAATAAAGAGTTACGTGGAAAGTTCTGAGCCCTTGTAAGGAGGCAGAATCTGTTCTGACCTAATTATGCTCATTGTAGGATGGCATACCCTCGAGATATCTAAGAAAGAGGGGTTCATACCAGCTTGGTTATTAATAGGTTTTATTAGGGTCAATTAGGTTAATTGGGGGAGTTTACTCACAAGAGGCCAGTTGTCCTGGGTAGCAGCAGGAAAAAGTAACATCATGAATCCCTGCACCAATCCTAGGCCAGGTCACGTATTATATAGAAACAAAACAAAGAAGGCATAGTACCAAGGATGGCCCAGGGTTCCCATGGGTTTCTTTTGCTGTTTACAGTCTTCTGTGGAGTCATAGGTCACATTTCCACTCTGCCTGCCCTTGGACAGTCCTCTATTAAAGAAAACTTTGGGAAGAATTTGTTGATCCACCCTCCAGCCCTCCAACCAGAGGGGCAAGGCAACTGTTGGAGCTAAGAAAATATTGAGTATTAAAAGCCAAGTCAATCTACATGGTGATGAGAAGTGAAGAAGACGAGATGGTGAGGTACTATTATAATAACTTTGAATAGTGTAGGAGACAGAGGGAATAGAGAAGTGGCTCTCTAACTTTTGTCTGTTTCCTTGACCTCTGCTTCCCCACCAATACTGCCACTGTTCCTTCTTCTAGGGCAAGATGGGAGACTGCTTCTGGTGCAGTAATCCCATACTTTCTTTTTCAGAAATGCATTCAGGAAGGGGAAAAAATAAAGTAAAAAGTGCACAGCAGAGAACAAAAGAAAACCAACAAGGAAGCAAAGAAAAGCTGGACAGCTTTAAAAACAATATTTATTATATAGGTTTTCTTGAAATGGAAATTTATTGTTTTATATTGAATCCTCTCTTATGGTCTGCCGTGTACCTGGCAATTTTTTTTCTTTTCTCATTTTGTATTTAAGTTTAAAATTTTTTTAAAAATTAAAAAAAAGAAATACTTTGAGTTAACATTACAGATTCCAAGGACCTTGAGAAACTGATGAATGATTCTAATGTTCATAATATCACTGAACTATTTTTTATGTGTCTCTCTCTTTAGTAGTTTAAAATCTACATTTTGTAAACACCCCACCACCACCACCAAAAAAAATAAAGAAAAAAAGAAATCCATTCAAGGTCACTAAAAAAGAAAAAAAGAGCTCTGGGCACACTCTAGGTATTATATGCCCAGCCCATAGGCAGAAACCTAGACTTACCACATCTCCATGACAATAGCTATTGGGAGGACAGTCAAGCCCAGGATTAGATTATTGATACTAACAACAACCCATGGTTTGTTTGTCTTTTTTTAAATAATTCTTTAAAGTTTTATATAAGCACTTAATTTGTTATGAGCACTATGGTAAGTGATAAGAAAAATATATAGTTCAGATTAAGACCTGGGTCACTGTCCTCATGAAGCTTAGGGTCTCACAGGATAAAAAGAAATATGATACATGATAAGGATATTATACAAGTGCCAAGCACTTCTGCAGAAGTTTAATGAAATAGGTGGTATTCTACTTGGGCTTTAAGAGATGGGAAGGAACTCAGCAAGAGAGGAGGTGGAGACAAGGCATTCCAGGTATAAATTACTGTTTGAGCAAAGCATTATCGTTGTTCAGTCATGCCTGACTTTTCCTGATTCCATTTGGAGTTTTCTTGGCAAAGATACTGGGGTGGTCGGTCATTTCCTTCTCTAGCTCATTTTACAGATAAGGAACTGAGGCAAACAGGGTGGAGTAACTTGCCTAGGGTCACACAGTAAATGTCTGAGGCCAGATTTTAACTCAGAAACTGAAGTCTTCCTGACTCCAGTCCCAGCACTCTATCCATTGAGCCACGTAGCTGCCCAAGCAAAACTACAGAAGTAGATAGCACATGTTCAGGGGTCAGAGTAGGTCCACTTGGATAGAATGTAGAGTATGTGGAAGACAGTAGATGATAAAAGATTAGAAGGGTTTAGGGGCAACAGATTGTGGAGGGCCTTAAATGCTAAACCTTTGAAAGGAGTTTTAATTTTATTCCATAGGCAATAGGGAGACAGTGAATATTTTTAAGAATGTGAGTGACATGAACAGATCTATGCATAAAGATAAGTATGGCAGCAGGATAAAGGATAGAGTAAAGATTGTGGATAGCAGAGGTGGAAATACATTAAGACAGCTATTGCTATAGTTAAGACAATGGGAACTTATCCTAGGGGAGCAGCAGTAGGGATGATGATGATGATGACAATGATGATGATGATGATGATGATGATGATGATGATGATGATGATGATGATGATGAT